GGGTATGAGGGGGTATTCCCCTTCACCAAACACTCCACCTGTATTACAAAGTGCCAAAACAACAACAACAACATGCCATTCACTGGAGTCCACGTCAGAAAGGTGGGATGCAAAGGTATAAGTACCTCACTACCACCACAACACCAAATCCAAGGAGAGGCCGTGTCTTCATTCACCGCAGCTGGCCAGGCCACAGCCCTCTCTGTCCAGAGTCTCATTTCCTTAGTAGGTGTGGGATGGGAGTGGAGGGCTTTTATCATTCAAAAACAGAAACTCAGAACTGGCTCTCTGCTGGGGCTTCTTTTTATTTTACTAGTTTGCTGGATTTTTTTTTTTTAAACATTAGACGTAGTGTTAAAGAGAGTAGAGAAAAACAGCAGAGTAGTGATCCTTTACTTGTTTGTTGGTTTAGAGACAGGGCTTCATGTAATCCAGGCTGGCCTCAAACTTGCTAAAATCCTGCTTCCGTTTCCCAAGGGTTAGAATTGTAGGACTGCACCACCGCACACATGGTTTTGATTTTATGAGACAGAGTCTTGCTACGTAATGCAGGCTGGCCTTGATTTTACAAAGATTTGCCTGCCGTGGCCTCCTGAGTATTGAGATTACAGACATGTGTCACCACACCTCAATCTGTGTTCGGATTTCTCCTCCTCCTCCTTCTCTTCCTTCAGTGGGGTCTCAGACAGCTCAGGCTAGCCTTGAACTTGCTATTTAGGCAAGGATGATCTTGTGTGATCCTCTACCTCCCCAGTGCTGGGATTACAGGTGTAGACTACCACACTCAGTTTTTGGAGCGCTGGAGATTGGACCCGGGGCCTAGTGTGTACATGCTCTGCACGAATTCTACCAATAAAGCCAGCCTCGTAGCCCTGTGCCCATCTCTGACCTTCTCCTCTTGGCACTTGCTGGATATCATAGGAGGTGCGCTCCAGGGAGGGAGCCCTATGTCTGTCTGTTTACTTACTACCTGGAAAATGCTGGCACACAGTGTCAAGGATGAAGGGATAACTTGGCATGGGACTGCTGAACTTTGCCCTAATGGAATTCAGGCGATATTACTGTGTGCTTCCTGTAAGGGAGGCATAAAACCAGGACCTAAGGTTGATATGTGTGGTTCCAACACATCTACTGTCCACCACTGGGCATGTCTACCCTGCACTACAGCCAGGCAGATTGACCTGTAGGGACAGTACCATCAGGCTCCGGGCTTCATAGCTGTCAGTGCCATGAGAACAGAGACAGAGGACACCAGGGTCTCTCTGCAGCCCACCAGATGCCTGCATCCTCCACAAGAGGCCAGGACTTCAGTCAGCCAGCCACACTGCCCCCTCAACATCTTAGGCCTGAGGTGGATACACAGCCTTCTTGCTAACCTCTGGGGGGTTCCTATATCCTACCCAATCTTTCAGAGAAAGCTCTTTACCGAACTCTCCTCTACTTACCTGATTTACGTTTCCTCCAGGCCCCTACAGTGCTGGTCCCAGGCCTTATGATTGTCAATCATAAAAATGAGGGCCAGGGATGTAGCTCAGCAAGTAAAAGCACTTTACCACACAAACTTGAAGACCTGAGCTAAGTCCCTGGAACCCACAGGAGAAGGAGAACCAACTCTGAAAGTTGTCCTCTGACCTCCACGCGCATTCACACTAATGCACACACATCATACACAAACACACACAATAATAAAAAAAATATTAAGGACAGAACTATATCAAAGGATAGGCTTCCTAGCCTCTGGCTCACTGAGAAGCCTCCTCCATCGGGCCACAGAGGAGACCTCCTCCTCTATCTGATTGCCTTTGGCTTAGGGTGGAAAACAGCAAAGACTTTTTCATATCTTCATTTTAACTGTACTCTGAATAGTTGATATGTTCAGATGGCTCGAAATTTTAAAAATATAGGTATGTGTGCACACATATGTTCTCCCGTGTCTGCCAGGGTTGGGATGAGTATCAGTGGTCCCTTTCCTAACTGACCATGTCACAGCGTATGGTTAATCAGGATGCCAACACAAACCACACCCCGGCTCCCAGAGATTCCTACTTGTTGGATATTGCTAAGAGTTTATAACTCAGAACTGGTTTACAAATCAGTTACTCAGTGGGTAACGACGCTTGCAGCCAAACTTAACAGCCTGAGTTCAACCCCCAGCACCCACATCGTAGACAGAGAACTGGTTCCTGAAATGACTTCTACATGTGTGCCATGGTGTATGTGTATTTGTATATTCACATACACAAAATAAATAGATAAAATTTAAACATTTTAAGCTCACAATTTAACATGCAAGGAAGTTCTGCCTCAGACTCAAAGCCCACCCGAGTCTATGCCTTGGCTGAAATCCAAGCATCTGGGAGATCCAGACAGCATGGCCTCCAAGCAGTTTCTCACACACTGGGACCTTCCGAAAGTAACCATGGAATGGGAAAGTGATACTTTCCCCACAGTTTGGCAATGGTTCTTCAGATTAAAACTAGGAACAAATGTAGAGCCAAATTTGGTTGGCGGTTGACAAATAGTTTGCCTTTATAATAATGCACTAGATAAGCTAATTCTTAAAAAAAAAAAAAAAAAGCTGTTATCTGGGAATGGCATCAAATGCCTGCAAATCCCAGCACCTGGGACGTGGGAGGATTAGTTCAAGGCCAGCTTCCGATGTGCATCCAGTGTGAGGCCAGCCTGAGCTACACGCTATCCTGTCTTTAAAAATCTGAACTCCTGCTCATCCTGCATCTGCCTCTCAAGTGCTAGGGTAATGAGCATGTACCACCACAACAAGCTATAAAGCAAAATCTTATTTTAAAGTCCCTGAGAGCCAGGCGTGGTAGCTCATACCTTTAATTCCAGCACTTGGGAGGCAGAAGCAGGTGGATATCTGCGATTTCGAGGCCAGCCTGGTCGACATACTGAGCTCCTGGCCAGCCAGGACAACACAGTGAGACTCTATCTCGACCCACTCCACCATCCCCCCCCCACAAAAAAAATGAAGAGCATAATTACTTCAGTTTGGAAGGCCATCCCCTAAGCACTGTGATGGCTAACAGACACCTTTGCCTTCTTTTAATTTGCCCACCGGAGACCACAAGGTCATAAATATGAGAGAGAGAAGTGAGTAAGTGTGTCATCAATGACTCTTCGCACTGCAGTTAATGAGGTGAGATAAGGACTCTGACACCCTCAAGACAGGCGGTCTGGGGACAAAGTGGTCACATTATGCATGGGGCAACAGAGACCCTGAGGACAGTGGCTGTGGGCTTACATCACCGCTGACCAGAGAGAACTTATCACTCCTGCTCTTTGACCGAGTTCTTTCCTTTGCGTATCTCCAGCAGCATAGGAGTGTGAGCCAGCCCTCTTCACAGCCCGGAGCTGGGAATGGTACCTTAGCACTCTGTGCTTATGAGGGACAAAGGCCACCATAGCCTCCCAGCAACCACAGAAATAACCTGCCCATTCACCTGAGTTATGAAAGAAGAGAAGCTTGACAAGAAAGGTGGGTGGAGGCGGAGAGCCACACTACACAGCCCCAGCACCTGGCGAGCCAGGCTTTCTTTCCGTCTCTACCCACAAGTCCGCAGGCCCAGTGGGAGAGCCTTAGGCGGTTTTTGTTTGTCTCGAGCAAGGTCTCAAGTCGCCCAGGGGACCTCCCACTTGCTTTGTAGTTTAGGATGGCCTTAAACTTCTGATCTTCCTGCCTCCATCCCTCCCCCATCAGCCCAAGCACCGGGATTACAGGCACGTGCCACCAAGCCCCGCCGAGCCTTTCGTGACGTTCCTCTCAACACAAATAAAACTGCAGAGGTCAGAGAGTCCCAGTTTGAAAGTCTCCCAGTCACTCTACCCTTCTGCAGCTCCCACTTCCATTCCAAGGCTTTGACTTGAGCATCGTGGCCCGGGGTCCCGCCCAGCTCTAAACAGTGGCTTGGAGACTCACTGGGCTTTCATAGCCCTGCCTGTAAAATGGGACCAAATACTCTGGCGACCCCCGCAGTGAGCCATAGGAATCTCCTGGCCTCTGGGGCAGAATGCCAAGGTGAATGAGCTCAGATGCAGCAGTGGCAGTGGGCAGAGCCTGCAAAGCCTAGACGGGCACTGCGTGTGGCTGCCAGACCGACCTCAGCGGGGCACCGGTTTGCTTTATACTTGTCTGCCGGTCCTCCCACAGCCGGCTCTCTTCCTGTGCCCATTTTGCCGCGGAGGAAACTGAAAGTGCGGGGTAAAAAAAAAAAATGACTTCCCCAGGGTGACAATGCGAAGGCAGAGCTAGCCTGGGATCTGCCTTGCACACGCCGCGGCCTCCTCCCCTCTGCAGTCTCCCTCCTATCCGCCCCAGGCTGCCGAGCTCCGGCCATCACAATGACCCAAGTTTCCCAGAAACAAACGCTGAAATTCCCGGCTGGCTGTTCTGCCTGCTTTCCGGAGCTGGGACGCCGTAGGATCCTGGGGTTCGCTAGAAGTACCTCCACTAGCACTGCGCTCTCCGCCTCCCAGCCCAGCGGGGGTTCCCGCATCCACGTGGTGTAGCCGCGGACACTACGAGGCTCAAGGGGACAGCGCAGGGCTGGAGGGGACGGCGCCAAGCGAAGGGGCGTAACGCGCGGCAGGATGGTCAGTGCAGGATGGGAGGAGGCAAGGCGGAATCCCCGAGGGGACAAGGGTCTCCGCACCTGGGGAGAACCCGGGAACCCCCTACCTTTCCTGAAGGGCATCGCGCCGAGGACGCTGCGCGGGGGGGCTGGCCCGCGACACCTGGGCAGGCTGACGTCCAAGTGGCAGCCCCGAGGCTCGAGGCGGCCTGCGGGCGATGGGGCCGGCGAGGGAGGGGAAAGGGACATATTTGGTCACAGCCTGGCACGTCACAGTGCGGAGGAGGCCCCGCCGCGGAGCAGGAAGCGCGGGAGTCGCGTCACCCGTGCGCTCTGGGCGCCTGCGGGCGGCGGCCGGGAGGCCAGGGTGGGCGACCGGGTCCCGCCCTGAGCCTAGAGCCCTGGAGGTGCCGCCTGCCGGTGCAGATGCCAAGCATGGAGGAAAACCACCTGGAAGGGGATGACAATTAGCTCATCCATTAGCTCCTTCGGGCTGTGTAAGGAAGGAAGGGACTTGGAGGAATTTTATCTTTTTTTTTTTTGCCTTAATAAAGTTGAGGCGTTCAAATGGCTGGTTGACTTGTATAGACACTAAATAGAGGCTGAGAGGAGCAGCCTAGACAAACTCATATTTAACAGTATTCGTACTAAACTAGTTTAGCACCCTTCCTGCCCCAGTTTCCTGCCCCCCAGCACCTACACCCAGAACACCCGATGAAAGTGTCCATCTTTAAGATCCACAGGGGTGAATGTATGGTTTGTTTCTCCAGAGTCTGAAACAGTTCCTCACCCACCACTTGATAATCTGTCGAGAGAAAGCGTCGCTTAGGGACCGAGAAGGAGGAGGAGGCAGCTTTACTCAGTACATTTTGCCTCTGGGAGGTCGACAGTAAGGCAAATGCCTTGATAGTTGGTCGATGCAAATGTCCCAAAGCAGGATCCTGTTTTTGGTTAATTAAGGCTTTCCTTACTAATCAAGTCTGGTATGGTGTCTTCAGGCTGGTAATTAATCCTAGCCCTTGAGGGCGCGAGGCAGGACTACTGCCTCTTCTAGGCCAACCTGGCCTACACAAGCAAACCTCGCAAAACAAACAAGGAAAAAAGAATAAAAAATTAATTCTCAGTTTGTAGTCAAAGCGCATAGAAAGCTCTGGCTTGAGTCCAGTAGTTCAAAACCAGCCTGTGAGACACTCCACCTCAGAAAGTTAATTTCTGTCAAAGGAAGCAGTATACTTTCTCTTTCCTTTTCTTTTCCTTTCCTTCCTTCCTCCCTTCCTTTTTCTGTGGTTGTTTGTTTGAGATAGGTTCTCCTGTGTCTAGGCTGGCTTTGAACTCTCTAGTAGACCAGGCTTGGCCTTGAACTCTTGCTTCTCCTGTCTCATACTCTCAAGAGCATTCCTGGAATGCACCACCACGCCTTGCTGGAAAATGTTATTTTGTGTTACACTCTGAAGAAAGCAAGAGTCACCTGAACTTCTAGTATTTAAAATATCCGTTCAAAGACAAGAGGCTGCCTCTCCAAGCAACGACCAGACCTGTCCAGGTGAGCTGAAATTCCAACCGGCTGGGGGTATGGGGGGGTGGAGTGAGTATGGGGGTGTCCTTCCGTTCTTCCTTTCTTCTTCTAATTAGAATCAGGGTCTTAGTCTGCTGTGTTTCACAGGTTCTCACTGAAACGCCACCCTTCATTTTGAAGAAAGAAAATGCCACACAGAAGGAAGTAACCATCCTGAGGTGTAAACTCACTGCCCTGCTAGGTAAGTGAATCAGGGTCAAATTCTTAAACCAATACACCTTCAAAGTGTCCTGTACTATTTCTTTCCAACTAAATCTTTACAATGAAAGCTGTGCATGCCCAAAGGCTTTACGGTCTGCCACCTTTATGTCCCCAAAGTGTTCCTGCTGCCAATTGTATGCTTTTGAACATCTGCTCCATTACCTTGAGTTAAGCATGCACCCCAAATGTGTCCACCATCTTTACTTCTTGAACAATGACCTTAAACTGAGCATGTTCAAGACTGTAACCTATAACTGAGAATGCTCAGGAGTGTGCTTGCCCTGAAAGTGCCTTTTTATATGAGTATATAGACTACTCAGCCCTGGCCCTGAGGAGGTTGAGGCAGGAGGATGGTCAGAACCTCTGTCCCAAGTCCCCATGCCTCCTTTCTTCAAGGAGGGCACTGCTTTGGAAATGACTCTCAAGTGTTCTTTATCTGCTGCTAGTAAGAAATCTTTCTCACTGGGTGGTGGGGGTGGCAGCAGTGCACGCCTTTAGTTCCAGCGCTTGGGAGGCAGAGGCATTTGGATCTCTGAGTTGGAGGCCAGCCTGGTCTACAGATCAAGTTCCAGGACAGCCAGAGCTACATAGAAAAACCCTGTCTCGAAAAGCAAAAAAAAAAAAAAAAAAAAGAAAAGAAAGGAAGGAAGGAAGGAAGGAAGGAAGGAAGAAAGGAAGGAAGGAAGGTCGGTCTTTCTCTCTCAGGCTGTTTTGTTTTTTCTTAGTCTTTTTTTTATTTGTTTTTGCATTTGTGTTGTGGCCTAAAGGGTTCCACACCCTGTCTGGCTCCCCTTAGTACAGTCTAGATTTCCCATGAAGAGCCTTGGGTTACCTTTGTTATAGCTAGAGAGAAATATTGAATTTTACTGAATATTAGAGCCAAATACTTTTTGTTTTTCTTTTTCCAAGACAGGGTTTCTCTGTGTAGCCCTGGCTATCCTGGAACCCATTCTGTAGATCAGACTGGCCTCAAACTCACAACAGTACACTAACCAAAATCAGTAAGTATCTTATTCCCGTCTTAGAAGTGGATCTACTGGCCAGCAGCAGTAGCGCATGCCTTTAATCCCAGCACTCGGGAGGCAGAGCCAGGCAGATCTCTGTGAATTTGAGGCCAGCCTAGTTTACAGAGTGAGATCCAGGACAGGCACCAAACCTACACAGAGAAATCCTGTCTCGAAAAAAAGAAAAGAAAAGAAAGAAAAAAGAAATGAATCTACTACTTACACTACAGGGCAGTCACTGACCATCTAGACCCCAAGCCAAGTTCCCAATCTTCTGAAGAAAGACAACCATCTAATAGGTAAATGTTACAAGACCAGGCACAGGTACCATCTGACTTTAAGCACATTGCCAGACACTTAACCTAATCATTCTCTAAATTTGTATGAGTTAGATGACGGAGTTTCTAACACAAGAATGCTTGGAGCTAATAATTTAGACACACTCCAGCCAAAGGGTCCTTCGTGGTGTGTTGACAAGTGCAATTCCACAGCTAATGGTAAACATCAAGTACATCGATCTGACCGAATTTCTGTTCAGCTGAGGTAACAGACCTGACTTTGGCACCAGAATTAAGAAAAGAGAGGGCATTAACTGTATAGGAAGACGTAGATATACTTTCTTGTGGTTCCTGTTCATTCTGGAAAGAGGCAGATTTTCCTAGTGCCGTCAGAAGGAAACTGAATAAGGAAAAGGAGGTCCTTACTGCCCCAGGCACTAACGAACCATGAAAGCACCAGCTGGACATGGCAAAGGCATCAGAGGGGAGACTTAAACTGATATGAGAAGACCCCCTCTCAACCATTGTCTGGGGGACATTGAGGAAGAGGGGGTGGAAAGAATGTAAGAGTAGAGGATGGGGAAGAGCATGGTGAAATGCTGCCTTCAGGACACAACATGGCTGTTACACGCATAAACTCAGTTACCTGCACAAGACTGACCCAAGTACCAGCCAAAATCCCAGCTGCTGGGGAGATGAGCTCATACTCAGGCCCCACTCCTTAATGAGGAGTTACTGGCAGCTGACAGTTGCTTGGGGAGGGAGACTCATTCTGTCTAGGGGAGCGTCACTGGGAGGATTCCTAGGCTCCAGGGGATAGTCCCACACCTGTGTACACACCGGCATCGCTGACTGGACTGAGTGGGTTATCAGGAAAAAGAAAAGGCGTGGGTGTGGAGGAGGATGTCTAGTGGGAATAAGAAGGGAGTCGGAGGCTGGAAATAACACTAGATATGATCATCTGTCGTTGTTCAAGAATAAAGAAAAGTGTAAATAGTGAGAGACCATGCCACTAAGCATGCAGCTGGGACTGGAGAAATTCTCCAGCTGCCTTTGTGTACACCTCTGCCTCTCTGTAAGTTTGCTACATCTACATAGAAGACGATAGAATGAAGGCAAAAGGATCAAGGTAAGCTAGAAAGGTTGGCCTAAGCAATTGTTAAATCTGCTTATAGGACAAGTTCTACAGAAAAGACACCCTGCACGGCCAGCTTCTTGGAGTAGTAAAGATTTCACATTTAAAGAAGAACAGAGCGAAGCTCACACACCCAAACTGCTAGCACACATCAGTGAGCCACCTGTCCCCGTCGGAAGAGACAATGCAAGCCAAAGGCGTGCTGCCTGGAAAGAGCTTGACACATGGTGTTTACAGTCCTGCCATCTGCCCCAGGAGAATTTAATATCTCTTCGATTTTATGGATTTTTTTTTTCAGGAGTAGAACAGGGGTGACGTACGACATGGAGACCTCAGTCATCCAGCAGAGCTGAAAGAGCCAACTGTACATGTAAGGTTACAATGACCAAACTGTGTCAAAAAGCTCATGAAAATTGATTAACACTTCTAGCTCCTGCTCTAGTTCGCAGCAGAGCTGCTCCCAAAGAGAAATTCAAGCTCGAGCCCTTTAAAATGCTGTATGGAAGGTCCTTCCCCAGGGAACACATTCTAAAGCACATGCTGATGTGGAAACGGAGCCAGCGATAAAGCATACTTAACTTAGGACAGAGGTGGCTTCCAGGATCAAGGCCTTGCTGCCAAGCCTACTGGCCCAAATTCAGTCCCAAGACCCACATTCCAGAAGGGGAAAGGAAATTCCCAAAAGCTGTCCTCTGACTTCCACACATGTACCTTGGCACACTTGTCCACACATATACAAATAAATATGTGTAACTTCAGAAAACATATTACACTCAATTCATTACGAATGTACAAGGCCCTCCGCTCCACTGCTAAGTACTTTCAGAAAAATGACGTCTATCCTGAACCCCTCAAGAATGAGGAGCGAGTCTCAAATGAAGGTTTGTTAGCAGCCTCATGAGACAGGCACCTCTAAGGGCAGTCTTACAGAATTACACCTTCAAAGTGCCCTTTCCTTTTTTCTATCTAGAATGTTATGGTTTGAGTTGTGCATGCCTGTGGGGGCACCGTTCACCATCTTTACAATATGAGCTAAGCATGCCCAAATGTGCTCCTGTGCGCCAGAATAATTTTTCAAATATCTGTGCTAGACCTTAAACTAAGAATGTCCAAAAATGCGTGTCCACGATCTTCCCTGGTTGAACTATGACCTTTGGGAGCATGCTCAGGATGAGCCTCTCATGAAGTCCTTTCTCGAACATGTGCGCCCCTTGGGTAAACCTCCACACTTGCTTTGCTCAGGAGCCTGTTGCTCTGGGGAGAATTCCTGTGCTTGCCTTATAACTGCAGGCAGTGATTCTTTTTCTGCTCTCACCTTTTTGTTCCTGCTTGCTTGGCTTTAACCCATTGCATTCAGCTGTAGAACTTTCTCAACCAACAGCAAAAGGGATATCTCTCTCGCCTGAGAACAGGTGATGAGTTCTCAGACCACTGTTGTTGGAAACATGGATTTCAGTCTGTCTCAGGAGTAGGGAGCTGAGGTTTATGGGAAGAGTTCCAGTTTCTGGGCCATGGGTGACGGTCTACTCCCTCTGACCTTTTCCCTGCTGTGATTATGATGTGAAGTGGATGTGGACTTAGCCTCATGGACTTGGTTGTCACTGAAGACTTCATCTAAGGCCAATTGATCCAGATAAAGAATATGTCAAGAGCCAGAAAGATGGCCCAGGGGATAAAAGCACCTGCTGCCAGTCCTGACTACTAGATTGGATCTCTGCCACTTGGTAGATGGAGAGAACTGACTTCCACAAGTTTTCCTCTGACCTCTACACACACACACACCCAAATGTTTTAAAAAAGAGTATGACAGATAGACTGTTGTAGGGTATCCACCAGAGAAGGCTACTTGGACAAGGGTTTAAGCCAATAGAAAGTCTTTATTAGCCTCCCAGCAACAACACTGAATGTTCAGGATCCTATTGTAGCCCAAGCCTTTCTCAGGGTGAGCTTTTAAGCACAAAATACATGTCCTGCGTTGACATACTTCAGTTAACAAGAATAATTAGCGAGAGGTGGAATTACAGAAGTAAAAAAAGGAAGGCTAGTACATTTAGAGACGTTCCCAGAAGAATGGGCGTTGATGGATTAGGACTTTGTTTTTGTTTTGGCTGGTGGTGCTGTCTGTGTGCTGTGTTTTACAGCCTGAATGGTACTTCCATCATGGAGTCAGTTTTGCTAAGGTCTGGGGGCTGTTACACAGAATGCACACATCAGGTGTGTCATCCCAGTTGCTGTAGTAGAGGCAGAGCAGGTGTCTGCTGAGATGCACTATTCCTTCCCGTTGGCACCTGTACCCCAGGGAACTCATTCATTCACAGACTCCATTGCTGATGGCCACACTGTAAGGCATACATACATATCTGGTCTTTCATCTAAGTTCTCAGCCTAGAGCTTCAGGCTGATGAGTTCATTTCTATGCCAATGAGACGGCTGGAAACTGAGGCTCCAAGCTGGGAGCTGGGGGCTGGAAAGTCTAAGATATGATTAGGGGGTTGGTACCCTCAGCCAAAGTCCCAGGACCAGTGGGGAGAGCAGAATTGATCACCCATGATGAATGATTTAATCAGCTATGGTAGTGCAAGAACGCCTCCATTTAAATGCCTTAGGATGGGGTTGGGGATTTAGCTCAGTGGTAGAGCACTTGCCTAGCAAGTGCAAGGCCCTGTATTCAGTCCTCAGCTCCGGGGGGGGAAAAAATGCCTTAGGATGAAATTCCATTTGATTCCCAGTTGGTAAGCCCAGAGAAGCTCCTTGCATCCCCACACACTTAACTATCCTTATACATCTCCCAGTGGCCGCTCTTGACTCAAACCTTTCATAATAAAAAGTTGTAGCCGGGCGGTGGTGGCGCACGCCTTTAATCCCAGCACTCGGGAGGCAGAGCCAGGCGGATCTCTGTGAGTTCGAGGCCAGCCTGGTCTACCAAGTGAGTTCCAGGAAAGGCGCAAAGCTACACAGAGAAACCCTGTCTCGAAAAACCAAAAAAAAAAAAAAAAAAAAAAAAAGTTGTGATACTAAGTAAATGGCCATCTCCAGTTCTGAGTTATTCTAGTAAGTAACTGAACCCGGAAATGAAGGCAGGAGTTTAAGAAGAGTAAGGCATCCTGATTTTACAGCCAGTTTGGACAGAAGTATGGGTAAGCTAGGTACTCAACACTCTCCTTTTTTTCCTTCGTACATTTATTTTACTTGTGTTTGTGTGTATGTGTGTGGGCACACACATGCCACAGACATATGGAGGTCAGAGGACAGCTTGTGGGAGTTGGCTCTCTCCTTTCACCATATGGGGCCCAGGGATAAAATTTAAGTCATCAGGCCAGATAGTATGTGCCTTTACCCACTGCCTCAAATACTTTAAAGTTCTTTTTTTTTTTTTTTTTTTTGAGCTGAGGATTGAACCCAGGGCCTTGTGCTTGCTAGGCAAGCACTCTATCACTGAGCTAAATCTCTTAAAGTTCTTTAAATTGTATTATTTCATGTACGTGGGTGTTTTGCCTGCATCTTGTCTGTACACCACCTTTTACAGTGCCTACACAGGCCAGAAGAGGGACATCAGTTACCCTGGGACTGAAGTTACAAAAGGTTGTGAGCTGCCATGTAGATTCTGGGAACTGAACTCAGGTCTTCCGGAAGAGCAGCCAGTGCTCTCAACCTCTAGCCATCTGTCAGCCACCCCTTTCTGTAATACTTTCTTGGGTCTTATGCTGAGCCTCTCAAACTGTGGCTTCCATCAGAATGGGACAGGATCGTAGGATGACCATCTGGCGTCCGGAGAATAGGAGACTGGGTTGTTGAAGGGGAGCCCCCACACAATTAGTATGTGAAGGCCTATGAGTGAAAACAGGTTTGACTGACATATTCTGACCTCTCTTTTGTTTTTTAATTGGGAACAGAAGACAAAGAACACCACAGCTGGCTTTGTTCCATTCCATGTTCAAGTAACGACAGCACCCCCTGATTTCAGTTGTTGTTTAACAATCCTGGGAACATTTGTTCCCTTGCTACCAACTGGAATCGGCCAATAACTCAGGGTGCTTCTGGTGTGTCCTCGAAGAAAGCATCAAGACACCTGCTAGGAGGGACTGGTGGGAAAACACCCAGTGATGACTGGGGATGGAGCTCTCTTGGTAAAGTGCTTGCCTTATACACACAAACCCTGGGGTTAGATCTCTAGCGCATATAAAACAAACAAACTGGGGCTGGAGAGATGGCTCAGCGGTTAAGAGCACTGGCTGCTCTTCCAGAGGTCCTGAGTTCAATTCCTAGCAACCACATGGTGGCTCACAACCATCTGTAATGAGATCTGGTGCCCTCTTCTGGCCTGCAGGAATACATGCAGGCAGAATACTGAGTACACAGTAAATAAATAAATCTTTAAAAACAAAGGATAACAATTAAAAAAAAAAAAAACCCAAGCAGGGTGCCCAATGCCTGTAATCCCCAGCACTCCATAGGCAGAAACAGGACAATAGTCAAGGTCATTCTTGGCTATACAGTGAGTTCAAGGCCAACCTAGTTATGTGAGACAGAGTCGAAAGAGACAGAGAAAGGAAGAAGGAGGAGAGGAGAAAAGAGAAAGGGAGGAAGGGAAGAGGGGAGGGAGGGAAGGAGGGAGGAAGGGAAACTCCTGATGATGGGGTGGGCCAAGGAGGGGTGAGTCTGTTGAGCCATCCAGAGCTGAAGAACAAAGTTAGCATGGCCAGTACTGGAGGAAGGCAGCAGAGGTATGGAACACAGTCTGTGAGGATTTTCAGACACGGAGAATGGATCTGAAGCCATTTTAATTGGGACGATGTCCTCAGGCCTTGACAATATAGTATGAGTCAGAGAATGTAATTTCATCATTACTCACTAAACTTTCAACTGTGTCGCTGCCTCATCGGCCCCGTCTAATGCGTATCGATTAGAAGGCTCCTCGGGCGATCTTGGCTCACCACAGCGGTGTTTTAAAACTCTAACCTAATTGCCAGGGATCTCGAGGAGACACGGCCAGGCTCCAGACTTCCTCCACCTTTTCTTTGTCTATCACCACAGGATTGTCACCTTCGGTGAAATCATTGTGTGCCCTGAGGGCCATAATTTTTTTGTTTTGTTTTGAGACATAGTCCAGGCTTCTCTAAACTGCTATGTTGCAAGGACGACCTTCAGTTTCTGATTCTCCTGCCTCCACCTCTTGAACACTGGGATTACAGGCAAGTGCCAAGACACCCTCTTTATTTGGTGTTAGGATCAATTTTGCAAATACTAGAGCTAGGCAAGCACTCTACCAACTAAGCGACACCCCTAATCCTTTGTGGTTTTGTTTTTGGTGTTGTTTTGAGACAGGGCCTTACACCATGCAAACTGGACTGGCCTCAAACTTGCAATCCTCCTTCGCCAGCCTCCCAAGTGCTGGGATTACAGGGTCTCTCAATCTGGGTGAACATTTAAATTAACTCCCTAAAGATAGCTGGATCACACACACACACACACACACACACACACACACACACACACACACACACACACCCCAGGTATCTGCATTCCTAGCCTTCCGGTGAGGTACTAGGCCACACAGAGGACTGGGGGTGGGGTCTCTTGATCACCTCTAAAGGCATCCCTCGCTTGGGTGGGCTAATCCACATGACCGAGCACAGTCCTGAGATTCGTTTGGCCGAAACAGAAGAGCATCTCACTTCCCTCACCCTTCTCCCGTGCCGTCAGCCCAACGCCACCCCTGGAAGTTGTTTCTTGCTCACCATGTGGTGTTCTGGTGGCCAGGGTCAGGGACTGAATTCATCCAGGGGTTTTACACTTTGACTTCTTCTAGAGAAAAATTTGCTTTAAGGGACTCAGACTCCCCTCAACATTTTTTTTTCCCCTTTTAGACAGAGTCTGTAGCCCAGGCTGGCCTCCAACTCATTTCTACCTCCTGCACTGAAGTTGACTTGATCTTCTCACCTCTAACTTCCAAGTGCTGAGATTACAGACATGGGCAAACTATACCAAGTTGATGAGGTGCTGGGACAGAACCCAGGGCTTTGTGCCTGCTAAGCAAACACTCCACCAACTGATAATATATAATATTATATCCCCAGTCTACCCTCGCATCTCTCCAGCCCTCTGCCTCAGACAATCTTAAAGTCAATTGTTACTTAATTGACTTTAATTACACCTGCAAAACCCTGTAAGTTAGTTGATTTGTATGCAAGAGCTGGGAATGTGGAGCGCCTATTAGAATTCTACCCTCTTCTGCTAGTGATTTATTAAAACAATCAGCGATCAATTGGCAGCTGGTTTGCATTGGGAGGGGATGGGCCTAATGCAGCAATGGCTTGTGGGCGTGTCCATGGCCTCAGTCAGCCTGACCTGGCTTCACAGATCGCATATCCTTTCTCTCGCAAATAATCCTCCTGTTTAATTCAAATCCTGAGCCCGGTGTAGTGGCACGTATCTGTAATGCCATATCTGTAATGCACGTATCTGTAGTGCACATATCTGTAATGTACATATCTGTAATGCACATACCTGTAATGCACATATCTGTAATGCACATACCTGTAATGCACATATCTGTAATGCATGTATCTGTAATGCTCATATCTGTAATGCATGTATCTGTAATTCACATATCTGTAATGCTCATATCTATAATGCACATATCTGTAATGCTCATATCTGTAATGCTCATATCTGCAATGCACATATCTGTAATGTTCATATCTGTAATGCTCATATCTGTAATGCACATATCTATAATGCACATATCTGTAATGCACATATCTGTAATGCTCATATCTGTAATGCTCATATCTGTAATGCACATATCTATAATGCACATATCTGTAATGCACATCTGTAATGCACGTATCTGTAATGCTCATATCTGTAATGCACATATCTGTAATGCTCATATCTGTAATGCACATATCTGTAATGCACATTTGTAATGCATGTATCTGTAATGCTCATATCTGTAATGCTCATATCTGTAATGCACATATCTGTAATGCATGTATCTGTAATGCTCATATCTGTAATGCATGTATCTGTAATGCTCATATCTGTAGTGCACATATCTGTAATGCACATATCTGTAATGCATGTATCTGTAATGCTCATATCTGTAATGCTCATATCTGTAATGCTCATATCTGTAATGCACATATCTGTAATGCACATATCTGTAATGCATGTATCTGTAATGCTCATATCTGTAATGCTCATATCTGTAATGCACATATCTATAATGCACATATCTGTAATGCACATCTGTAATGCACGTATCTGTAATGCTCATATCTGTAATGCACATATCTGTAATGCTCATATCTGTAATGCACATATTTGTAATGCACATTTGTAATGCATGTATCTGTAATGCTCATATCTGTAATGCACATATCTGTAATGCATGTATCTGTAATGCTCATATCTGTAATGCTCATATCTGTAATGCACATATCTATAATGCACATATCTGTAATGCACATCTGTAATGCATGTATCTGTAATGCTCATATCTGTAATGCTCATATCTGTAATGCACATATCTGTAATGCATGTATCTGTAATGCTCATATCTGTAATGCTCATATCTGTAATGCACATATCTGTAATGCACATATCTGTAATACTCAGGAGGCTGAGGTAGGAGGCTCATGAGTGTGAGAGCAGCCTGGGCTACAAAACAATTTCAAGGTCTGTTTGGGATGCATTTTGGGACTGTCTCAGTAAATCAATTCATCCATATTATCTCTATCCATCCATATCAACTTTTATGTACATCCCTGATGGGAAGGATTCAATTAGTT